AACTAGTAGAGGCGCGAGATGATTTTCAGAACCGATCAAAAAGACGAAAGTGTATTAAAAAACACAGATTTCCAGGAAGAATTGTGTGATTTTTGCTTTTATTTATTTGAATTATAGTTTAAAAAAAATCATGATCAAATCACGTATTTGTTTAAGTTTAATTTAAGATTTTTAAGATGACGCTTCTTATTTACACTTGTTGTTTACATACATATTCACTATGCCATTTTTATTAAAATCAGTCCCTAAATCCTCCTGCAATGATTGAACTAAGTGATTCTCTATCTCATACCTCGTGTCATTCCCTTGATTATTATTATTTTCATCGATGACGCCCTGAAGAAAAAAACCCGATACTGGAAATCTCTGGAAGCAACTCAAACTAGACGTATAATCATTTCTAAGTGATTTTTGAGCCTATTGATATTGTTTTCGTGGGAAAATAACGTATTCACTTGAATTGTAACTGAAATAATAAATTGTCCAAAAAGCTTCCTCTTCTCAGGAGTATCATGTACTATGTACTATAGGCATAAGATTTACTTTGAGCTAAGTTAGTATTCCTTATTTTTCAGTGAATGTAAATTCAAAACTTTCGGTATCGTTATCATAATAAAGGACTTAAAATGATTGGCGGTTTTACTGAGAGTGGAAATTGGTTACCTAAGTGTTAAGTAATATGACAAAAATTGCTATACAATTATGTATTTTTAGAGTATTTGGCTCAAGCATAATGAGTACAAGACTAGAAAAAAAGGAAGGAAAGAAAAATAAGAATTAAAGAGAAGGGCTGTCTGTTATAGAAAAAATCCATGAAAATATTTTAAGTTCTAATCATATTTTTGGAAAGAAAATGGGAGTCCCGAGCTCATTTTTGATATAGTCACGATTAAACAAGAGTACCCTGGATGCTAGAGGCCGTGTGGGGCTTGGGGACGAGAGAGAGAGCCCCACACGGCCTCTGGCACCCAGCGTAAAACATAAGCAGGTGAGGATGAGAATGAGGATTGACCATGATTCTGCGATCAATATAGAAAGCGGTATCTGCATCGAACAAGAAAGAGGACTTTTCTTCTGATGTTGGTTGTCGCGACAATTATTTTTCATCATTTCTCTCTAGTGGGATATCAGCAAGTGATATGTCTAATCTATTAAACAAATTGATCAAGAACTATGACAAGAGGCTGAGACCAAATTTTGGAGGTAGGTCAGCCAGAGAGTGAAAGCATTTGAATCAAGCTAATAGACCATTTCAAAGATCCCGCGGCTCAACCTCAGCCTCGTCAGCGTGTAATATATTCTTTAGAAATTGCCTACAACCTGTGAAATTTTTAAGTGTTTCAATTGTTCGTTGATGTGTAAATTCCTTTCATTACTGCGGACTGTAGTCAAATTCTAAAGAATAATTACACGCTGACGAGGCTGAGGTTGAGTTACGGGATCCGTGAAATGGCCTATTGACCTGTTCGGCTTGGGGTAATGTTTTCCCATTTCAGACCATGTGTCATTCCCTTGAGAATAAGATTCTTTGTTTGAGTTGTATCCATATTCATGTGTCTTCTTATGTGCAACCGAGCGCAAACTTTAAACAAAGAAATGATACTCTAGGGAATGACATGTGGTCCGAAATGGGAAAACACTACGTCAGAGCCGAAGAGGTCTATTTGATAGTTGTTATTACAGTAGAGCCCGCACGTATAAAAGTGAGCCTATCCGGTTCATACAATGCTTGTTGTCAAGCTTGCATCTCATTTGCATACATTCGTAATATCTGCTATTATTAAAATTTTAATTATTTATTTATTATTAGGAGATCCTGTGGTGATCACCGTTGGATTCTGGATTCTTTCAATAGACTCAATAAATGTCATAGACATGGTAAGTCATAAGATAAATGAAATACTGAATAATATGGGGTGCCATTACCGCAAAATATTCAGCTACTGCTTTTATTTTATTGATGTTATTAAATGGAGCTTGCAATTCAATAATGGTGCTCTCTACTTGAAATAATGCTTTTATTTGTTTTATGCAGCTAATCATTTTGTAAAACGGTGCTGTAAAAATATGGAGCTGTTGTTATTGAGCTTTCCAGTCTTTTTATGCAGCCTTTTTTATGCAGCAGTCTGGTGACTACTTTGAACGCATGCGCTCTCATGCCGGAAGTCCAAGTAATCCTGGTCTCAAAAATTGTATTATGCCAAAGCCCTCCTTCTTCGCCGCAGGCCAGAAGAAGCGCAGGCTCTGAGTACGAGATTGAAGATTTCTTGTTAGTATTCATTGTTAACGCTTATGTCTTAGACTTGGGAATGCTTGCAACCCGGCCACCCGTAAGGGATTTAGCGGTGTCATTTCTACAGCTAATTCATGTTTGCTTTGTATTCCAAATGCAAAGAGGAAGATGCAACGTGCAAAAAACATTTCACTATGACCTTTTAAATATCTTAAAATTCCTGTATATTACCTATAAACCTCGTCCGGTCCCAGAGGAGGATACACTAGTATCCCAAGTTACTTTGCGAGTTTCGTTTTCCAATATGGCGTCGCTTTCTACTCGTCTGTAGCGGTGTGCGACTTTCACTTTCCGTAGCAGYCGTTACGTGACCTGTAAGAGGTAAAAACTCATGAACTTGTATTGTTTATTAAAAATACTCTTAATCTACATACATATTTGTTTGGATTTGCGCCAATTGTCAGAGTTATATCGCTCGAGTTCACTTTGTCACGCGGTGTCATACCTGATGTCATATTGAATTTTATATGGTACATCAAGTAAATGCTGCTTTTCACATATTTGAGTATTTTAAGTTTAAGCAACAAATACGTGTCATTCAGATATTTAGGAAAAGCAAAACCTTGAAATGACCAAAAGTGACCCATGATTTATAGTCTTTTGGACAGTCACAATTGAAGTATATTTACGACAATTTATCGCGAACGCGACTCGTAAAAGGTGATATTTTTTGCCGATTTCATACAAAACAAAAATATTTAATAAACCTTACTTACTCCTACACTAGATGTAGAAGTAAGGCGAATAAGAACTGGGCTACGGACGTTATTGAACAAGTAATCCATCGAAGAGTTGTCACTCGTTGTTGTTGGAACAAGAGCGACACGTCTCTCTCTCAATTTCTCCAAAAAACTAACGTGAACGAGTCTAAAAACGACTTGTACTCCTTCAAGGCCGGGTAAACAAACAGAAAAATCATCTTTTGAAACGCAATGAACATACAATAATGAAATATGTTGAAAAGCATTTGCCGAGTCTGAACACCGCCATCTTGTTGTGCACTCTAAGCCGGTCAAACCAAAGTGATGACGTCACGAAAAAGTGATAATATAGTATCAAACACAATGCATTCTGGGATACTAGTGGAACCTCCTCTGGTCCGGTCCCATGGTAGTTAAAATCACGTGACCTAGTAATCAGTTCTTATTTTTAGGATTATAAAATGGATTTTTTTCTCCGTCAACTGTGGTACGACCCGCGGTTAAAGCACGACTTCAATGGTACACTAGCCCTGGGGAACTACATGGTCGACAAGATATGGATCCCTGATACGTACTTTGAAAATTCAAAGAGCTCGAATTTCCATCAAGTTACATCGGTGAATAAAATGTTGACGATCACCCCTGATGGAGGGGTTCATTACAACTCGAGGTAGGTTAGTTCTATCATGGTTTTTGTCTAACGCAATAGGAAAGAGTCCCAGGGCTGAAGGAGAGCTTGCGAGAGTTTTGGCGCGAAAATTCCCGCCACACACATAAATTTAATCACAAGGGTTTTCTTTGTGGCGACAAAATTTCACAATTACTGATAAAATTTCTCAATGAAAAATATCCACTTTTTTGTACAATACTCTTTACCTTGGTTGTTATGGTTTTACCCATTTCAGACAAGTGCCAATCGCTTGAGAATTTGATATTTGAATTGAATACATATTCATGTGTATTCCTACTTGCAAGAACGTTGTCATACGATATTAGAACATTAGTAATTTAGTGAGAAAGGCCGAATACATTAAAAGACAAAAGAAAAAGTTCAGCTTCAGTGATCTTCTTTTGTTTTTTAATATAATTCCTATCCCACTAAATTACTAATGTTCTATTTTGTATGACAACGTTCTTTCAAGTAGGTGTATATTGAAATATAATACTCAAAGGAATGACATGTGTCAGAAATGGGTAAACATTACACCCAAAAGAAAGAAGTTTATTTGTAAAAGAAAATAAGTAATCCTAGGTTATCAATTATCTATTACTTCTGGGTTTTTCCCATTCAGAGTTACCGTCAAAGCTAGTTGTCCTATGGATCTACGGATGTTCCCTGTAGACATACAACAGTGCAATATAAACATCGAGAGCTGTAAGTACCAAATATATAGGCTCCCCGCCTCGTATCCCATCGTATACAATGAGTGCAACCATGTGACTCAATATATCTCGAGATATGAATAACAATGAAACAACCGCCATGTTGGTTGATCCAACAAGAATGCTCTATTAGAATCTATTCATTGGGATGTTGGGGGAACACTCGAGAAGCTGGAAACCACKMCKCTACGCGTCGTGGTTTCCTACGCTCCTCTCGTGTTCTCCCAACATCCCGCGTGTTTTGATCAGAGTATCAAACATGGAAAACTGTTTTTGATCTGTTAAATCAATAATGATGATATATGATTTTAGAATGTATATTTCACAGATGGATACAGTGCTTCAGAAATGGTCTACCAGTGGGAGCCACGTGAGGATAATGGTATAGCCGTCAATAAGAAGACACGTGACATGCCGCAATATAACCTGACAAATATCACAGTAAAGAGTTATTTTACACTGTATTTCTCAGGTGAGCTTGATATCGCAATACCCCCTCCCCCGCGATACACCGTGTCATTCTCAGGTGAGTTTGATACCACAAAAATTGTCCCCCCTCTCCCTCCACCATGCCCCCCCTCAGATACCACGTGTCATTCTCAGGTGAGTTTGATACCACAAAAAACGCTCCCCCCCCCATCTCCCTCCACCATGCCCCCCCCCAGATACCACGTGTCATTCCCTTGAAAAATAAGAGTCTTTATTTGAGTTGTATCTAAAATTGCTTCTTTTGCTGTATGCCTTTTGTGATTTCTTGTGGTCTAATTTGGGTAAAAACAACACCAAATAAGGCATGATGTACAAAATATGTTAGAACCCAAGCTAGACCACAATGAATCATAAAAGGTCTATAGATCTAAACATTACCCCCAAGGTAAACGGCTACTGGGCTGGAGAACTCATGTAAGGTTGCTTTCTCTCCCTATTAGACAAAATTAGAAATAAAGCACAAAAAAACACTCCGAAGAACAATCTTCTTGACTTTAAATATTTAAGTTACACAAGAAATAATAATAATCATAATCATAATAATAGTAATCATAATCATCATCATCATCATCCGCATCATCATCATTATTATCATCATGAATGATGATGATGATATATGATGATGATGAAGATGATGATGATGTA